ACTTTAAAAAGTTCCTGTGCAGCAGATTTGCCCAGTGCAATACATCGTCTGATCTCTTGCTGGATCATAAGGTATTTCTATTTCCAACTTTCTGAGGAAGCGCCATATTGCTTTCCAGAGTGGTTGGACCACTTTGCAATCCCATTTTTTTTGGTATATTTCTTGTTGAGCATATACACAGAACATATAGCAAGTTTCTACATAATCAGCTTAGTGATAATTTTATTCTTTGAACTACTATTTGCACCCTCCATTTTCAAGTTGCTTTTTCCCTATAAACAAAATCACTGCCCTAATCCCTTGAGTTGGAGTCCTGGTGTGTCACTATAAGCTAATAATGCACTGGACCACAAGGTCAGTTTGATCCACATGGTCGGCAATTCAAATTCACCAGCTGCTCCTTGGAAACTGTGAGTCAGAACCAACCTGATAGCAGTTAGCAACAATAGTCCTTTGATTTACTGTTGTCAATTTAACCCCAAATCTGTAGATTTTAAAAGAGCGGACAGTCCTTACTAGGTAAACTATTGTTTGGTCTTAAGACTTCAGGAGATATTTTGGTTTAAGGTTGAAAGATATGTTGTTCTTGTAAGGTGCCATTGAGTTAGTTCCGACACAGCATCTTTATGTACACAGAACCAACTACCACCCAGTCCTGCACCATTCTCACAACTGATGCTACACTATTTGCTTCTACCACTGGGTCATCCATCTTGTTGGGGACCTCCCTTTTTCTCTGACCCTCCACTTTACCTAGCATGATGTCCTCCACAGACTGGTCCCATCTAATAATACGTCCAAAGTATGAGAGACGAAGTCTGGCCATCTTTGCTGCTAAGGAACATTCTGGTTGTGCTTCATCCAATACAAATTTATTTGTTCTTCTGGCAGTCCATGGTAGCTTTAATGTTCTTGTCCAACACCACAACTCAAATGCATCTATTTTTCTATGTCTTCATTATTTATTATCCAACATCCATGTGCATATGAGGCTTGGGCCAGGTGCACCTTAGTCCTTAAACTGACATCTTTTCTCTTAAAAAGGTCTTCTGCAGCACATGTGAGTAATGCAATGTTATTTGATGTTTTGACTGCTGTGTCCATGAGTGTTGACAGTGCATCTAAGCGAAATGAAGTCTTTGACACCTTCAATCTTTTCTCCATTTATGATGATGTTATGTATTGGTCCAGTGCTATTTTTGTTCTTTATTTATTGAGGTGCAACCCATACCAAGTCTGTGTTCTTTGATTTTCATCAGACAGTACTTACAGTTTTCCTAGACTGATATTTCAGACATTCTACAATCCAATTATTAATGAATGTTTGCAACTGTTTCTCATTTTGCATTTTGCCCCATCAGCAAACGAAAGTCCCAAAAGCTTTACTCCACCCATATAATCAGTCAACTTTACTTTGAGGCAGCTCTTCCTTAGTCACATTTTGAGTGCTTTCCAACTGGCAGGGCTCATTTTCTAGAACTGTACCTGACAGTATTCTGTTGCTACTCATCATGTTTCAATAGTCAATATTCTGATACTGACATTTCACTGGTATCCATATGGTTTCTGTGGCTAAGCATTTGGAGGTGGACTGCCTCTCCTTCTGAGGCTGTCTTCTGGAAACTCAGCTGAAACCAGTCCCCCATGGGTGACCCTTCTGGCATTTAAATACTGGAAGCATCACTTCTGGCATCATAGTAACATGCAAGCCACCACAGTGCAACAGACAGATGAGTGGTGAGAAGGTTTCAAGATGATCTTGGTAATCTTTACAGTACTCATCCAACTTCCACAGCTCTAGAAAAGATGGATTCTATGACACTTTTAAATTTCTGTTCTGCATTTTTCTCCTTTTGATTAGGATTCAGCTACAGAATTTTTCTGCAAAATGTCCATTTATGATAATAGGACACCATCTAGTTCTGGTTGCCTGGCAAAGGAGGCAATGTTCATGGAGCCAACTAGACACCCATATTCCATATTGTATTTCTGTTTATTGCTCCAAAATAAAGACCAATTGTTGTGCCTTGGATGTCAGACTTTATTTCTTGACATGCACTTTTAGAATTGTAGGCATGATGACGCCTAACTTTTGGACCCCAAACTCCTGTTACATTCAACAACTGCCTTCAGTTTACATATAAAGCTTAAGTGAGTAAAGACTAAATTGCCTAATGCAGTATCTATGCCAATAGACCTAACGGTTGTATCTGAAGAAAGATGATCAAGTTATTCTAAACTTGGTTTTCAAATTAGAAACAAATTAATCATTAAAATAAGTCTCTCTCTATATATATACTGAACCTATGTAAATAAAAAACTTCTCACAGCTTGTTGTTAAGTGTCATGGAGTCAATTCTGACTCACAGTAACCAAGTTCTGTGGAGTGGCTGGTGGGCTTGAACTGCTGACCCTGTGCTTTAACTGTCAAGTGCGTATCCTAAAGCACCACATCTGGATTCATCTCAAAGCTTTGTTGTTATTGTTAGGTGCTGTCGAATCAGTTCCAACTCATAGTGACCCTGTATAGGGTTTCCAAGGTACAGCTGGTGGGTTTGAACAGCCAACCTTTCAGTTAGCAGCCCAATGCTTATTCTATAGCAGAGACAGATAACAAAGGCACTCTGGTAGCACTGGAGGGTAAGCATTGGGCTGCTAACCACAAGGTTGTCAGTTCAAAACCACCAGCCACTACACAGGAGAAAGATGAACTGTCTGCTCCCTGTCTCAGAAACCCTATACAAGGTCACTATGAATCAGAATTGACTCCATGGCAGTGTGAGAGAGAGTGTTGGGAGGATGGTGAGCCAGATGTATAATGACATTTTTTTTTTTTGCAAATTAGCTACAAACTTTGTTGTTAAGTACCATTGATTCAGTTCTGAATCACAGTGGCCTGTATAGGGTTGTCATGGAACAACTGGTGAGTTTGAAGTGACCTTGCTGTCAAGCCCTCATCCTACAGCGCCACACCAAGACTCCAGTTATAAGCTTTTAAGACTGTAAAAAGGAAGAAAATAATGTCTTTATTTCCTAGGGCTTCCTTTTGAATGAGACAATTCAATTTGAAAAAATTAGTGAATACAAATATACATGCTTCAAAGATAAATATATTCCAAAAACATTAATAGTACACTCACTCTACATTGAATTAATTAAATAAACAAAAAAAAGTTCTGATTACTACTTCATAGGTCAAAGCCCTGTAAGAATTCGGTCCCTGATGATTATCCTGGCTCTCCCACGCCCACCCTCTACCTAGCCAATTGGGATCAGCAACTTGAGCTGAAGCAGGCATTCTGACTGCCGCGTATTGATTCTGTACTTCCCACTTTTATCCCCCTGAATTAACAATGCTGCTAATACTACTTCAATGTTAGACTCTTTACAAAGTAGCAAAGAGAGTATAATCATGGGAAAGAAAAGTTCCTCCACAGAAATGAACAATTTTGACAATTAAAATTTTAGGAAACTCTTTTAAATGTACTTTCTGCCTCATTGATTAACTTTCAGATTTATCTCTAAATTAGGCTGACTTTGTTCACACAGGTTATGATTTAAATTCATGTGTGTGTTCATGATTTTCTATTGTCTATTAAAACATTTATTATAATGCCTTTACTTTTAATGTTATTTCTACATTTTCACAGAAATCAGTGCTGCCAGTTGACTTCATAGGAAGTTCACGGATCTATAGGATAGGAACAGAGTCAGTAGCTGTCACCATCTACACAGCTGAATGTATTTGTTTATTGTTCATCAAGGTACATACAAAAATACTTATTGATAAAAAATAAACTGTAGCAACGTGTTGAAGTTCCAGAGTGTTTCTGTTATCTTAAATCACTAAATTAAGTCCATGACTTTTCACATTATGGAGGGAAATGGTGTTAAGCATGTTGATTGAAACAATTTTCTCCCCACCACGATTCATGGTTAGAATTCTGCATGAAAAGCATGCCCATAGTTGTTCAGCCAGTCTTCGGTCCTAAGGGAGGTATTCTATGGATGGAAGCATTAAGAAGGATTTGCTGTTGTCTTCCAGCACCTCTGTGGTCTTGCTGTGAAAGAAAGAGAAGGAAAGGCCTTGTTTCAGTTTAAATATAGTCATTCAAGGAGGCAACTATGATATAAAAGTATTTCTAAAACCAGGAGGCAGATTTCCTTAGCTGAACTTGTTTAAGAAACAGAAAAGGTGTGTGTGTGTGTGGTTTTTTGCTGTATCAAAAATAACTTTATTTGGCTACAAGACAGACCATGAAGTAGCTTTCAATGATTAGGCTGCTAGCTGATGGTATCCATGTACGATGATCACTCATCGACAAACTACAGCCCATGGCCATATCTGGCCTGACTCCTATCCACTACAAACTAAGAATATTTCATGGTCTGAAAGTTGTATAAAAAGTAAAATTTCAATGTCCATAAATAAAGTTTTGCTGGAACATGGGGAAAACAATTTGGTCTTAATATTTATTTGATAACATGTTCACCTGCACTTTTGCTGGTGTTCGGTAGCGTAGTCGTTAACGATTCGGGCTGCGAACCTTAAGGTTAGCAGTTCGAAACTACCAGCTGCTCCGTGGGAGAAAGATGAGGCTTTCTGCTCCTGTAAAGATTTACAACCTCAGAAACCCTGTGCAGGGTTGCTATGGGTCGGAACCAACTCGATGGCACTTAACAACAACATAGTTATTTATTAGTAAACAGGCTTCTAAAAAAAAAAAAATCAAAGATTCTTAAGATTAGTGGCCCAAATCCACCACTCATCTTTCAGTTTGTCATATTGTGGTGGCTTGTGTGTTGCTGTGATGCTGGAAACTATGCCACTGGTATTTTAAATACAAGTGGGGTCACTCATAGTGGACAGGTTTCAGTGGAGCTTCAGACTAAGGCAGACTAGGAATGAGAGGTGGACCATTCCTGAGGAGTAAGTCATTGAAAACCTTAAGCACATTATCTACTACAGTACCAGAAGATGAGTCCCTCTGATTGGCAGGCATTCAAAATATGTCTGGAGAAGAGCTGCCTCTTCAATGTAGAGTTGACCTTAATGATGTGGATGGAGCAAAGCTTTCAGGACCCTCATTAGCTGATGGGACACAATTGAAAATGAGAAGAAACAGCTGCAAACATCGCATTAACCTGAAATGGGCTGATATTGGACAATTTGAATCAGATAATCAATATGGTAAACTATGCTGCAAGCAACACATTGAAGAGGAATGGCGTTGCACTCATTGACAGAAAAAAAAAATTCAGGCTCTTTCTTAAAGTACAATGCTATCTGGGAAGACCAGTCAATATCAATGGCTTATTCAGTGCAATGGACCTAACCTAGAGCTACACTCAGATGGAATACACAGGAATCAAACTGACTACACCTGCAGAATGAGATCATGGAGCTCAATATCATCCCCCTAAAGAAGACTAGGGACAGTCGGTGGAGCAGGCTGTCACGTGCAAGTTAAAGCTGATGCTGAAAAAAAAAAAAAAGTCCCAGATAGCCAAAATATGATCTTGATTATATCTCAACTGAATTGAGACCATCTCAAGAACAAATGCATTAGACACTAGTGATCAAAGACCATAAACTTGTGGAATCATTAAGAACATCATACATGGATGAAGAAAACAAAAGACCATTAAAAAGACAGGCAAAAAAAAAAAAAAGTAAGACCAAAGTGGATGCGAGAAGAGACTTTGGAACATGCTCTTTAGCGTAGAGAAGCTAAAGCGACTCTGGAAGAAATGATGACGTAAAAGAGCTGAACAGAATATTTCAGAGGGCAGCTTGAGAAGACACTGTCATGTATTATAATTAAAGATGCAAAGACCTGGAGTTAGAAAACTAAAAGAGAAGAACCAGTTCAGCTGGTTTTTCTTAACCCGAAAGAACTGAAGAAAAAATTTAAGCCTAGAACTTGCAATGCTGAAGAAGTCTATGGGCAAAGAGAATGATGCTGGAAACATCAGAAGATGAAAGGAATGTTGTTGTTAAGTACTGTGGAGTCGGTTCTGACTCATAGTGACCCTGCACAGGGTTTCCGAGGCTGTAAATCTTTACAGGCACAGAAAGCCTCATCTTTCACCCGCAGAACCACTGGTAGTTTCGAACTGCCGACCTTCAGGTTAGCAGCCTGATTCATAACCATTATGCTACTAGAGCTCCTTATGAAAGAAATACAATTATTATATATAAAAAAACATTAAAAAGTTGATTTTCAATCATTTCAAGAGGTACCATATGATGATCAACAAGTGATGGCATTGAAGGAAAAAGTCCAAGCAGTCTTGGCCAAAAGAAAAAAAAAAAAGAAAAGCTCAAGAAACTGACAGAATACAAATTAAAATGTTTTCAATAAATTGTTCTAACATACTGATGCAGCACTGGAGGTGCTCATTCATGTATGTCACAAAATCTGGACAACAGGTGTCTGGCTAAATGATTGGAAAAGAGCCATATTTGTGCCCATTCCAAAGAAAGGTGACCCAGTGGAAGATGGAAATCAAACAATACTATTAATATCACATGCAAGTAAAATTTTGCTGAAGATCATTTTAAAATGATTGTGGCAGTACATTGACAAGTAGCTATCAAGTGTTCAAAAGTAAAGATTTCAGTTTGAAAATTATGGTGTGCCTAACCCAAGCTATGGTATTTTCAGTAGCCCATGTGCATGTGAAAGTTGGATAGCGAATAAGGAAGATCACAGAAGAATTGAAGAATTTGAGTTATGGTGTCAGAGAAGAAGGTTAAAAGTACCATGGACTGCCAGAAGAAAAAACTAATCTGTCTTGGAAGAAGAGCGTGAATGCTGCTTAGGAGCCAGAATGCCAAGACTTTGTTTCCCATACTTTGGTTATATTATTAGGAGGAACTAGTCCTTGGAGAAGAACATCATGCTTTCTAAAGTAGAGGGTCAGCAAAACAGAGCAAGACCCCCAACAACATGGACTGACAGTCACAGCAACAATGGGCTCAAACATCAACAACTGTGAGGATAATGCAGAACTGGGCAGTGTTTCATTCTCTTGAGCACAGAGTCACTATGAGTCACAACTGACTTGATGGCATTGAACAACAGAACCCAAAATCATGATGGGTTCCTAGCTGCACACATTCTACCAGGGATAAAGTTCATTAAGAGTCTTAACAAGAGTCTATCTACGTGATACCTTTACAGTATGCTATGTTAAAAATCAAAAATTGCCATCAAGTCAGTTCCAACTCATGAAGCCCCATGTGTTGCAGAGTAGACCTGTACCTCATGGGGTTTTCAAGGCTGTGACCTTATGGAAACAAATCACTAGGTCTTTCTTCAAAGGAGCATCTGGGTGGGTACCATATACTCTGATAGGTTCACACCACCACCAGGGACTCCTTTGTAATATGATATGTAAGACACGTATCATTCATGGCATTCAAAATCTATACGGGCTGTTTCTGGCTTTTTAGTGTGTTTAATTTCATATACAGTATTCTCTCAGCTGTATTATTTCCCTCTCTAATAATAAAAGTCCTAATTTTTGAATTTTTTTTTTGTTGTTGTTAAGTGCTGTCAAGTCAGTTACAACCCACACGACCCAGTATAGGGTTTCAGAGGAGCAGTTAGTAAGCTTGAACCGCCAACCTTTCAGTTCAAACCAACTTTGCAGTCCAGCGCATAAACCCACAGCGCCACACCAGGAGTCCTTAATAAAGTTCACTTAATTTTTATAACATTAACTGAATCAAGATTTGATCCTGATTGTTGTTAAGTGCCCTTAAGTCAATTCTGACTTTTAGTGACCCTGCGTAGGGTTTCTGAGGAGCGGCTGGTGAGCTGTGAACCGCCAACCTTGTGATGTAATCTGACCTTGTGGTCCAGTGCATTATCTTGCAATATCAAAAAAAAAAAAGGTTTTTTAGATACCCATTTATACTAAGTGCCTGCTAAATATGGAATATTTCAAAGACAACATTAGGGGCAAATATCTCTGACTCACCTCCTACAAGGGACACCCTACTCAAAATTAAAAATTTTGAATTTTAACCAATTAATTTCAAGAACCATTCCAACATCTTCCTACACTCTCCCAAAGTGAAAGCATTAGGAAAAATAAAGCATTTAATTTAAAACCACCTTTTCTTGTTGCTAAATGAAATGAAAACAGAATGAGGTATGATCGGTGGTTCAAGGTCATCAGTTGCTTCTCAGAAACCCTATACAGGGTTGCTATGGGTCAGAACCAACCTGATGGCACTTCACAATAATATATTAAGCAGAACATGAGGAAAAAATTAGAAGAAATCACATTTAGTAAATATTTTCTTCATACCTTTCTTTGTATTAAAAACAAGATTTATTCTCAACTTCACAGGTTGGTACATCACTGTCTTTGCAGTAGCTTTCTGCCCCAATTGTATCCATGATATTGCTGCTTCCAGAGCTCTGTGTATTATAGCCACTGTCCATCTGATCAGAAAAAGGAGGAGAAAACAAAATCACATAAGGATAAAATATGTAAACTCACTTATCAGTAATAATCACAAAATTTTGAGGAAATTGAAAGTTAAATATTTAAGTTAATAATTTCATACAACAGAATACTATAACTCCGTATAACTCAACAATACATATTAAATGCAATTTAAAAGTAATGTATAAACACCAGAGTTATTTTTGTTAGGTGCCCTCAAGGCAGTTCTTACAGCAACCCTATACACAGCAGAATGAAACACTGCCTGGTCCCGCGCCAACCTCATAATCATTATGTCTTAGCCCACTGTTGCGGTCACAGTATCAGTCCATCTCATCGGGAGTTGTCTTCTTTTTCAATGACTTCACCAAACATGAAGTCCTTCTCCAGGGGCTGGTCCTTCCTGACAACATATCAAAAGAACAAGGGACGAAGTCTCACCATCCTGGCATCTAAGGTGCATTCTAGCTGTACTTCTTCCAAGATGGATTTGTTCTTCTGGCAGTCCAAGGTGCTTTCATTATTCTTCTCTAAACCATAATTAAAGTACATCAATTCTTCTGTGGTTTTCCATTTTCATTGTCCAATTTTGACATACATGAGGTGACTGAAAAGACGATGACTTGTCAGGTATAGCTTAATCTCTAAATTACATCTTTGCTCTTGAACACTTTAAAGACACCTTGCCTAATAGACTATGCCATTTGATTTCCGTGAATGCTGCTTCCATGGGAATTGATTAAGGATACAAATAAAATGAAATCCTTGACAGCGTCTATCTTATCTTTATCATGATATTATACATTGGTTGTGAGGATTTCAGCTTTCTTCATATTAAAGGCTGTAGTCTTTTTTTAAAAACTTTTATTATGAATTATGTGATAGTTTACATGGGAGAACATTAGCTTTACATTCATTCTACAGTGTATCGTTACATTGCTATGGTTACAATCCCCTCCATGCATCATCAAGCAACCAAAGGGTACACCCCGCAAGTAAAAGCTGTAGTCGTGAATTTTTATCAGTAACCATTTTAAGTGCTCTTTGCTTTCAGCAAACAAGGCTGTGTCACCTGCATTTTACAGGTTATTAATGAGTCTTCTCCCAACCCTGATGCCACGTTCTTCATATAATCCAGCGTCTCAAATTATTTGCAGCATACAGATTGAATATGTATGATGAAAGGATACAACCCTGACACCTTCCTTTCCTAATTCTACCTTTCAGTTCTATTCTAACAACTGCTTCTTGATCTATGTACAGGTTTCTCATGAGTACAATGATGTGTTCTGGAATTTCCGTTCTTCACAATGTGATCCACAGTTTTTTAATGATCCATACAGTTGAATACCTTTGTAAAGCACAAGTAAACATCTTTCAGGTATTTACCTACATACAAGGTAACTCTCCATCACTTGTCTGTTAGTTCATCTTCCGTGTGTTGCAGTGATGACGCAGCTATACTATTATTCTAAATACCAGCAGGGTCACCCAGGAGGAACAGGGTTCAGGGGAGACGAACCACTTCTGAAGAGTTAGCCACAGAAAACTTTATGAATGGCAGCAGAACACTGTCTACTATATTGCCATATAAACACCTCAGGTTGGAAGGCAATCAAAACATGACTAAGGAAGAGCTTCCTCAACAAAGCAGAGTGTCCACAAAATGATATGAATGGAGCAAAGCTTTCAGAACCTTCATATGATGATGGGGCACATCCCAAATAAGGAGATGTGAAAAAACAAAAAACAAAAAACAAATCCCGGCTGCAAATAGCTATTAGTAACCAGAACTTGGAATGTATAAGCTGTCGAAAATAAAATGGAATACATAAAGATCAATATCCTAGGCATTAGTGAGCTGAAGGAGTCCTAATGTGGTACGGTAGGATAAGCACTGGACTGCAAGGTTGGTGGCTCAAACCTACCAGATGTTCCTTGAAAACCCAACACAGGCTTACTATGAATCAGAACGGATTCAACGGCATTTAACGGCAACAAGAGAGCTGAAATGGACTGATATTGGACATTTTGTGTCAGATAATAACATAGTTTACCATGCCAGGAATGGACAAATGGAAGAGAAATGGTTTCACATTCATTGTCAAAAAAGAGCATTTCAAGATCTATCTTGAAGCGCAATGCTGTTTGTAATAGGTGTATCTATACACCTACAAGGAAGACAAGTTAATATCACTATTGTTCAAATGTATATACCTATCACTAAATCTGGAGTCCTTGGTGTGGTGGTCGGGGTTGATGAGCTAGACTACAAAGTCAGCTTGAATCACAAGGTCGGTGATTCAAGCTCACCAGCCATTCACTGGAAACCCTATTTAGAGTCGCTATGGGTCGGAATCGACTGGATGGCACTTATAAACAACAATCACTAAATCGAGGGATAATGAAATTGAAGTTTTTACCCATTTCTTAAATCTGAAACTCATCAAACATATAATCAAGATGTACTAATAATTACTGGTGATTGGAAAGTGAAAGATGAAAACAAGGAGGAAATATTGGTACTTTAAAAATATGCCCTTAGTGATAGAAATGATACTGGCTATTGCACGATAGAATTTTGCAAGACCAATTGCCTATTTATTGCAAATACCTTTTGTTAACAACACAAACAGCTACTATACACATGATCTTTGTCAGATGGAACACTCAGAAAGCAAATTGGCTAAATCTGTGGGAAGAGATGATGGTGAAGCTCAATCAGGCACAATAAGACCATAGGTCAACTGTTCAACACAGCAACAATAGCTCATATGCAAGTTTATATTGAAGCTGAAGAAAACTGAAACAAGTCCATGAGAGCCAAAAGATGCTGTTGAGTTAATTACAATGTATAGTGACCCTGTATAGGGCTTCAAAGGCTGAAAATCTTTACAGGAGCAGGAAAGTCTCATCTTTCTCCCGCTTGAATATATCCCACCTAAATTCAGAGACCATCTCAAGAACAGATTTGATATGTTGAACAGTAAGGACAAAAGACCAGCTGTAGGATGATGTCAACAGCAGTACTAGGAAGAACACAGCTGGAAAAAAAAAAGAACAGACCCAAATGGATGTCTGTTTAGAGAAGAGACTCTAAAACTGGCTCTTGATCTCAGAGAAGCTAAGATCATGGGGAAAATGATGAAGAGAAAAAGCTGCACACAAAATTTCAAAGGCCAGCTTGAGAAGACAAAGTCAAGTATTATAATCAACAACAGACTGAAACACGACAATTATGAGGATGGTGGAGGACGGGGCAGATTTTTGTTCTGTTGTGCACAGGATTAGTACGAGTTGGAACGGACTCAATGGACCCTAACAACAACAAGGTAGTTCTATATAAAATGATTTTTCTTCAAAGTAGCTACCTTTACTATGTATTCCCTTCCAATGAAATACATTTTGTAATTGCTTTCAGAATCAACAAATTCTCCACTAAGATCATACTTTCATGTTACTTTGTCTAAGGGTAAAATTCACTTCACATTTGAACTCATTTACCACATTTGTCTCTAAAGGGCTTGGCTGCGTTTCTAATTTAAAATTACCTACAAGGAATGCAACCATTGTTGATGTTGTTAACTGTCAAGTCAATTTTGATTCAAGGTGACCCTAACATTCAAAATAGCCTACTGTTCTTAAAAGGTGGCGATACATTTAATCACACCCAATTGTTAAAATAAAAGGCAGGCAGAGCTTTATAATTCTGTATACATGAGGGAGCTTCAAAAGTTCAAGAAAAAAAAACAAATTTCAAGTAATATGGCCGACTAGGCAGATGCACTACACAAACCTTGTACAAGTAAGAAAAAGAGATCAAATAAAACAGACACAGATGAAAATTTTGGCACTCTGAACTTTAGAAGAAAGATCAGAGGTATATGAAGTCCATGCTGGAAGAAGAGGCTGAGCAGGGATGGTCACAGAGGGAGACTGCCTGGTAAACGTCTGGTCACACATGGCTAGACTTGTAAGCAGCTGTAGCAGAGTAAGCCTGGCAGAACAGAGTCATAGAGGTTATAGAAAAGGGGTTATTTCTTCTTTTCACCCCATTCTTCCTTGGTGACCAGAGGTGTGGCAAGCTCCCGCCCTCATCCACTCCCCACACCCCCCACCTGCGCACACCCTGCTCTCCAGCTGTTTGGAGTCACATGATTGGAAGCCATGCCAGTATGAATCAGGGACCAGCTGTGCTGCTCTGGTGCCTGGATTCAAGTAGGCTCGAATCCAGAGCTATAAAACCGGCGGAGCCAACAGACCAGCATTTAATTAGTCATCCTGAATCCAGCTTCCCTGTAGTCCTAACAGGCACTAAAACCAGATCCCTCAACTACTTCTGGATTGAGTGCCCTGAACATAGGTAACACCAAGGCCAACAGAAACTCCATCTAGGGCCGGAACTCTGCTTTTACATCCCTTACTCAACCACCTCATGGCTCCTTTGGATTAGAGGAGTCTCTCAGAGATTTCTTCCCTCCAGGTCCAACAACTACACTGTTTGTTTTTACAAACACAACAATACCACAATATCCCAGAGACAATTTCAGCTTACACAAAAAAACAAGAGGGAATGACTCAAACAAATGGCCAAGATGCAGAAACAGGAAACATTTCTGAGGAAAAAAAGGTAATGAAACTGACTGAAAAGAATTCAAAAGGATGATATTTTGATACCTTCAAATGACTGACAGAAAGATCAAGGAAAGCTAAGAGAAAGAACTTTAGAATAAATCAGAAACACGCTACAAGAACAAACAGACAAAATAAATGCAAATTTTGAAATATGAAACCTGCAATTAAACTCCAGACAATCAATACCAAGATCTCAGAAATGGACAATACATGGAAAGGGCAAAGGAGAAGATTTATGCAGTGGAAGCCCAAATTAGTGAACTAGAAGATTAATCTCTTAATACTAGTATGCTAATACAATCAGAAGAAAGAATGAAAAAATTCAAAGAGTGCCTAAGAGCTATGGAATTCCAGACAAGAG